TACAGCGTAAAATTAGATGAAATGACCAAAATGCCCTTCAGGACAACGCCCCGGAATCGAATAATTTTCATATTTTCAGAACCCTCATACTCTCACGAGCCTAACCATATAAAAATCTCCCAAATCGAAGGTCAAATGCTCACTCAAAACTCAATAATTTAGCCAATGAAGTTTTACCCCAAATTATCCAATTTTTGATCCTAAATTCGAATTTCAATGATGCATTTAACTATATAATGATGAAATATAACTAGAAGGGATAAAGAAAACGTTACCCAATAATCTTCTCTTCAAAACCCACTCAAAATCGCCCTCTCCCGAGCTCTCAATTGATTTTTGTAACTTATGAACTCAAACCCTCGAAATTTCTATTTCTGCCCAGGGATTTCCGCTTCTGCGGTCCCGCTTCTGCGGACCACGAGCCGCTTCTGCGGTTTTTCATTAAAGTCAGATTTCCGCTTCTGCGGTCTTAAACCGCACCTGCGGTTGCCGCTTATGCGGATTCATTACCGCTTCTGCGGTTTCATGAGGAGGAAGACCAATCTCGCTTCTGCGATGAGGGAGCCGCTTCTGCGGCTCCGCTTCTGCGGTCCCCAAGCCGCAGAAGTGAAAATATCAGCTGTTGCAAACTTAGAAATTTCCTCCGTCAACCACCCAGAATCATCCCGAGACCCCCGGGACCTCAACCAAAAGCACCAATACCACCTAATATCTTATTCAAACTTGTACCAATCTTGAAAACACCTAAAACAACGCCGGAAACCCGAATTAATCAAAGATTTAAGCCTAAGAACTTCAATTTCCAACAAAAACGCTTTCGATCAAAAACCTACCCGAACCTCGTCCGAATGACCTGAAATTTTGCACACACATCCCAAATGACATGACGGAACTACTGCAACTTCCAGAATCCCATTCCGACCCTCGGATCAAAAACTTACTATCGGACCGGAAGCTTTAAAAATACAAACTTCGGCATTTCAAGCCTAAATGAGCTACGGACTTCCAAAATACATTCCGAACACGCTCCCAACCCCGAAATCACCTAACGAAGCTAACGGAACCATCGGATTTCTATTCTGAGGTCGTCTTCACACTGTTCCGACTTCGGACCATTTTTCAACACTTAAGCTCTCATTTAGGGACTAAGTGTCCCAAGACACTCCGAATCCTAACACCGAACGTCCCGGCAAACCAAAATAGCAGAAATGAACTTAGGGGAAGCAGTTAAGGGGGGATCGGGGCGTAAATTCCAAAAACGACCGGTCGGGTCATTACATCGAGGTTCGACCCCGAGGGTTCCCTATGTTTGACCTCGGGACAGTGCAAATCGGTGGCTATGATGGACAAGCGGGAAATTCCCAAGGCACGTGGTTAGAGCTGACCAGGTCTACAAGAATAGTACAAGTCCGTACCGTGACATTAAATGGCTGTACCAGCCGCATATCATGTTAATAAATGGTTGTACCAGCCACATATCTTTGTAATAAATGCACCTGTACTATGTTGGGATTCGCCCTCCTATATAAAGTGGACCCTTTTTATTTCTTACGCACATGATATTCAATACAAGAACAAGAACATTCTCTGCTCTTCAACTTAAACATATTCTACTGTCTCTCCCTTGATTTTATTGCTTACATTTATTGTGTTTTATTGATTGTTCTTCATTTATTACTCATCATTGATCATAAAGAGCCATCATCAAGGTCCTTAGAACTGTTAGTTCTTTCATCCCCAGTCTGACAATTTAGCTCGACCTCGAGGCCCAGCGTAGGCCAGCTCGAGACCCCGATTCACGGCCATTCGGTTTGCATAACATACTGCCCTCAAGCTTTTATCTCATTTTCTTGACTCACACTTAGCATCTATTGCTCAACAACTAGTAATAAAATAAATCACGTATTTTTAGAACCACAAAATCAAATTTAATTGTAATTACCATTTTCAAGGTAAACAGTTTGGCGCCCACCGTGGGGCTAAAAATAATAGTGATTGTTTTTGTGCTGGTTTATTGAAAACATAAGTTATTCTTCACACTTTTTCTTGTCAAAGAATTTTTGAATCAGGTCAAAATGTCTAACTCAGTGAATGCACATGAAAACAACGGTCCTGAGGACCATGGAGAGAATGGTGTAGTTGTTCCAGGCGCCGGTGTACCACTGCGAAACCCTAAGGACGCACCAGAGCCTATCCCCGTGGATGTGGGCTCACGCAACGCCCAACACGTCGATATAAGTTCCCACACTAACGGGAGTATACGCCAAGAAAACCAACAAGAAGCTCAGAGAACCCCAGCTCGAGAGGAACGAGAGGTTAGCCTTCAAGTCATTTTTGAGATGTTGCAGGCACAACAGCTGGCGATTGCTCAACTGCAAAGCTACCAAAAAACTCCAAGCACAGCAGCACCGGAAATGGCTCCTCGAGCCGAACAAATACCGGAAAGATCGAGTAACAACAGGTCAACAGCCGACCTCGCTATTATGAAGATGCTCGAGGAACTCACAAAGAGGATTGAATCGGGTGAAAAGAAGATAGAAGCTAATGACAAAAAGGTGGAGACGTACAATTTAAGGGTCGATCAGATCCCGGGCGCATCCCCGATTATGAAGGGTGTAGATTCAAAGAAATTCGTACAAAACCCATTCCTATCGAGTGCTGCTCCAAAGCCCATCCCGAAGAAATTCAGAATGCTCGATCTCCCGAAGTACAACGGAACCTCGGACCCCAACGAGCACATCACTGCTTACACTTGTGCTGTAAAGGGAAATGACCTGAAGGACGACGAGATTGAATCCGTCCTATTGAAGAAATTCGGAGAAACACTTTCAAAAGGGGCCATGATGTGGTATCACAACCTATCCCCGAATTCAATAGACTCATTTGTCATGCTGACAGATTCTTTTAAAAGGCACATGCCGATGCCATCAAGGTTGCTACAAGGAAATCCGACGTCTTCAAAATCAAACAGAGAGAAAACGAGATGCTATGGGAGTTTGTATCTCGCTTTCAAATGGAGCGAATGGAATTACCACCAGTCTCCAGTGACTGGGCAGTGCAGGCCTTCACCCAAGGTTTGAACGAACGAAGCTCGATAGCTTCGAAGCAGCTAAAATTGATGATCAACTTGAGTGTTGAACTGGAAATGCTATATTTCGTTCTTCAGTTGAGATGTGCAAAACGATAGTCTTCACAATCCATAGGAAAAGTATTTAACTTCCCAGTACTTTCGAGATCTTTGGGAGTCCTACGCGCAGTCAACTTCTCGTTTGCCGACAATCCTGAAGTGCTAAGGACTCCACGAATCTTGTAACTCATATCTATCAAATATGCATGCAGATATTCTTGGGCAGCAGTCCTTATTGTAACAAGAGTCCTTTCCAGCAATATCGGACTGCAGTAATTTTGTGTAAAAGTTACTGTCTTATAAGAACCTTCAGCAGCTACCTTGAAAATCTAGTTCTTAGCACACGTTAACTGGGCACAATTGTTAATCATCAAAATCCACTCTCAACAAAAACAACTATAGCTGAAAAGAGCCACGAAAATAATATTTTATTTGTACTACACTAGATGACAATATAAACTGGGGAAACAAACAAATATATTATAAATAGTTGATGAAATTGAAGGTCTGAGGGATAAAATTGTGAAGTGGAAACATACAAAACTTTAATCTTCCAAACAGCGAGCTTAAAGGAACTGCATAGTTTTCCTTTTGTTTTACCTTTTTTTCTTAATTCTATTTTCAAAGATAATAAGTCCTTAATTAATAGGAATGAACAACCTATTAGGAGGGTGTTTAGATAGGTTTTTAAGCAATCCAAACGGGCTCTAAGTGACATGAAATATGTAGCTTGCGACACAACGTGGAAAAGAAGGGAAAATGTTGGCACAAGTAGAATCAGATGGGATTCATATCATTGTCTAGGAAAAGCGTCAGCACGTGTTGGTGATATACCTAACACGCACTTGGTGGTAGGCCATTCAATTGGCGGGGAGCTGCCGCTTCCTTGGCCCAGCGGGACCTCTACACCGTCATAATTAGAGTCCAACAATGATTTACAAACGTTAGAAAAAGGAAATATTCATTAATTACTTGCCTTCTCCTATGATGTTGTGCTTTACTAGATTTTGTAAATATCGCTACCTTTTGGCCTGATTATAAATAAAGTATTGGGGAGGGAACCTAACAGGTTGTTTGGAGGGTTGTTACCCATTGCATGATATTGTATTGTTATTCCGAAATAATATTTATTTTAATTGTTTATTTAAGAATAATTGTATCGTATTATTAAATTTATTGTTTCGAAATAATCAAAAACCTTATTTTATGAAACAACCGATTTGGTGTGGTGGGATCATTTCCTATTTCTTTTTCAAAAAATTATGCCTTTACTTATTACTCCATAATTTTTTTTTCACTATTTTTTTTATTTTAACTCCAAATCTTCAACCTATTGACCTACTTTTTCTTCTTCCATCTTTTCTAGAGTTGGTTTTCCCCGTTATTTTTATCCAAATCTTCGTTCGATTCTTTGTCTCTTTCCATCATTTTAATTTTTTGTTGTTGTTGCTTTTCTTTTTCTTCCAGATTTTTGCTCTTGTTTCCAAGCTACGTAATTAATGATAAATTAGTAGACAGAGATTTTCTTAAATTATTTTTATGTGTAATTCTTGATAAATTTTATTTAAAATAATTAGGGGTATTTTAGTGAACTTATCAGTAACAGTACAGTACATACAATCCAACCAAACAACAAAATATTTTTTAACAACAACAAATTATACCAGTTATTCAAATATTATATTTATAAAATAATATAATACAGTATAAATAGAGTATAATACAATACATTATAAAACGAGAAATAATAATTCAAACATAGGGTAGGGAAAAAGGAAAACGTAGATAGACGTGGGTTAAATGCAGGAGAGCCCATGTGTAGAAACAACAAAACTCATTTGTTCGGCCAGCGTGGATGCTGTAGCAGTGCTGGCATGGCAGGTCAGATACTCTTTTCTTCTTCTTAAGAATCTCCGCAACTTTGCTGCTCCTTTCCCTGTCTCTAAAAGCCATATACCACCTTTTCCTCTCTCTCTCTCTTCCTTTCTAGGGTTTTTCATCCTCTCTCTATATTATATATATAACCATACAAAGAAAAGACAGAGTGTTGTAGTGGTGGTGGAGGATCCGTTTCGTTGAAAATGTCTTCTGTTGTCATGAGATGTGCTGCTGCTTCCCATCTTCATCACGCCTCCTCCCCTTCCCATCGTCCTCAGGTACTTGCCTTTTCCTTTTTCCTCATTTACGCTACATAAAGCTCGATGATTCATCCTGTATTTTTGTCAGGTATCATCATGTGCTGGCCTTCATCACAACGTCGAATTCCAATCTGCTGCTGCCTCACTCCTCCATTCTTCCTCCTTACAGTTGAGACCAATTATCCCTTCTAACAGCATTCTACCCATTAGAGCAACTGCAACCGAATTGCCTCCTACTGTTCCAAGTAATTTCCTCTTTATTATTCTAAATGTTTTATTTTTGTATCTTAATTGCTCAAAAATGTTTCAAATTTGTACAGAATCACGGGCTGATGCTGGCAAGACCAGGATCGGAATTAACGGTATGTTGCTTTAGATTTAATTTCATTCCTGTGAAATGAATCATTTACTTCATTCTTAGTAGGAGATCAATGTTGTCTGTGCCGGATGTATCCTTGGATGTATCCTTAGCTTTACGTGTTCAACCAAACCCAATATATTTGCCACTGAAGCCAAAATTGTGCCCGTTTAGCCACGCTAAAAACTACTTATTTTTGAAAGTGTTTTTCGAAAAAATACTTTTGTAAAGTAGCAGTTAGTGTTTGGAAAATTTATTGAGTGGTTCTTTTTGCAAGCAAATTGTGTTTGGTCAATCTTTCCAAAAATTACTTTTGAATATCAAATTACGAAAAAGAACATTAAAGATTCAGATTGATATTAGTATTATTTTAAAAGAGATAAATAAATTTGAATATTTATTATAAAAAAGGTTACTAAATTTTTTAATCAATATAAAATATAATTATTCCAAAGCGATTATATTGGAGTATCTAGTACTACTTATTGTTTACGCGATGATTTAAATACATCAAAATACATCATTCAATATAAATTAAAAATATACTCTTATAAATCACTATATAAAAGAAGAGATTTATTTATAGTAGAGAGAATATTCCAAAAAGGAATAGGAGAAAGAGAATAAAAATATGATAGAAATAAAAAAAGAATAAATTATTGTAAAAAAAAGAAAAATAAAATAGAGAAGGTTCAATTGATGAGGGATAATTTGGAAAATATAAATTTAATACAATCTTGAATAGATTCATTTTCTGCTTCTGCTTTTTGGAAGAAGCTAGAATTTGCAGCTTCTCCCCAAAAGCAGAAAAACTGCTTATGGTGGGGTTAAAAAGGATTTTTTTGATTTTGACCAAACATCTCAAATTTTCTAAGAACTACTTTTTTGACAAAAAAAAAAATTACTTTTGGCCTCTAAAGGTGAGCAGACATGGTCTAGCTAACGGATACCCAACTCGGAGAACCATTTGTATTATTATTTTCAATATCTCCAAAACAAACAAATGTATATCTAATTGTA